AAAAAAGTAAATCAGAGCTAAAAAAGTGCAAAAACACAGGCAAATTTGCCTGCGTTGGTCTACATATTAAGGGATAGCTATACAATTATTTTTTGCCTTGTAGATATTTTGGTAGATATTCTTTATATATTGTAGTTTGTTAGCTGGATTGTTTATTTGATTATGTTTAGGGATCTAAATTTTGTCACTTGCTGAAGTATTGCTCCTGGTCTTATAAAATAAGTAGAAGAATTTTGTAGATTTTTCTCCTTCTTCGATCCACTTTATATTTGATCTAGTCTGCCATTTGTCAGAAAGGGTTTGAAGTTCCTCTTGTAACTATACATTAATGTGTTCTCTTAGAGCTGGAAGATGTTCTGAGTTTTTTATGCCAAATGCCTTATTATTAATTTTGGTTAATCTTTTTTGCAGCTTTTAAATTCTTTTTTTCTGGTAAAGGTTGTGGTTTAAAGGCAGAGTATCTTATATTTATGTAGGTCCCACCTTGAGAAGTTTGCAATACTTTGTATCTCTTCAATTACTTCAGCTCTGAGTAGTTGATTTAGCTAGCTGTTTCTGTCAAATCTCCATTGTTTTGCTTTGGGTTTCTCTGTATTTAACTGTAGTTTACATTCTACTAGCAAGTGATCGGAGTTATCAAATTGGGTTGTGATCTTCTTGCAGAGGTGCCTATGATTTGCATCAATGAAAATGTAATCCAATTTTGTAGCCATTACATGGCCCCCTTATATATTCTGATGATAAGTTATAAAAGGCTTTGTGCAGGCTGTAACTGCTATGGTGTCAATATATTCTGATGTTAAATTTGAAAGCAATTCTCTTGTGAGATTATTTGTTGGTAAAGAATGACTTATTCTATTCTTTTGTGGGTTAAGGTTTGTATTGAAGTCTCCTGCAAGAATAGTTATACAATCTTCATTCGTCTCCAGAAACTAGTTATTAAAGAAATTAACTCTTTCTGCTATACTTGAAGGTGCATATACATTTATAAGATGGAATTTTTGGTGTCTGTAGATAATGTTTGCTTTGGTTATACAGCTATTATTGTCATGTGTGTGATAGTTGATCGATGTAATTAATATAATGAATAATCAAAAATGTCACAATAAATAAGTAATGCGATATATATAAATTATGTGAATAAACAATGAGAGTAATAATTTAGTAATAGTGTCATAATAATTGTCAAATGCAAATATATAAAAGTAATAAGTTGTAAGCAAGAGAAAAGAACATCTCCTGCATAAGCATTCTTTTAATAAAGTAATTTCTCATTGATATAAATATAAACCTGTCATTAAATACAACAGTAAACAAATAAAGAAACAATAAAGCGAGTGTTCGAATCGTGTAATAATGACCCTGGGCCGGATATTCGGTATAGTTTACTTTATATCGTTTAACCACATGACAATTATGTAATTTATAAAGTGATGTTTGGATTTTCGACTAAAATTGTGGTTTTAGAAAACCAGTATAAGCTATATCCCCATTGTTGCTATAAGAAATTCCTTGTATTTATGTTTTCTAAATTAGTTTCTTAAAGCATAATTAAATCTAAGTAATATGATTTTAATAATGTAAGTGTTCTATGTGCTTTTTCTAAATTGTTTAATTCTTTAATATTTAAAGTTGTAATTTTAAGTTTGTTAACTATAAGATAAGTTAGAGTTGGTGTATATATACTAAAAGCACTACTTAAGATCTGTTTGTCTTAGAGCCAGGGTATGGTCCCGACCTAGATTTGTTTGTAGCTATAATTGACTTTCTGGAATGGTTTTTGGTTTTCTTTTTGGAGGTAACTAATATAAACCCTTCTGCATCTGTATTATTGACTTTACCTATCATTTTTAGCATAAAAGGATGCTAATGGACCTTTTACTATATTCTTCTGACTAATCTCATTATCAGTCTTGATGTGAAATAGTTATGTTTTTGGTTTAGCTTCTGCATTGGACAAGGCTTGGGTTTCTGCTACTGCAACTACTTGTGTTTCCACTTTGTTTTCTTTAGGTGAATTAGAAGTTTTTGCTAACATCTCTGTTCGAGTTTCTACTATACTATTTGTATTTGAATCTTTTGCTGTTGTATCAATAAGCATAACATTCTCTAATTCCTTATTATATAGGTTTTTAGTATTTAACACTATTTGAGAATATCCCTGATTTCATACTTGTTTCTATTCTCATGCTCTTTGCAACTTTCTCTCTTTTTGTATTTCTCTTAATGCAACTGATATTTGATATTTCTGGTATTCTTTCTTGATATAGCCTGTTTTGTTACAGAAGTAGCATACCTTTGGGGTTTCTTTTCAATCTGTTAAACTTTCTAATCTCAAATATGTATAAATCTGGGTATTCTCATTGCCAGATTTGAATTGTCTGTTGTTTCAAAAATTACTACCTATTGGTCTGTAAGCACTAATGTCTTCTTATATACTAGTGGTTTAATAGAGGAAATATTGCCAATATCTTTAAAGGCTTCTTTGATTTGCTCTGAAATAAAATCCTTTCTGCCCATAGCCGTTATATTGATAAAAAACTTCATCTAATATTTACTGGAATGTACTCTTGGAGAGTTTGTTTAAAGATTACAAGGCCTTCTGCTATGTAAAACTGCTATTTATCTTGATCTATAAAGATGATCTCCAAATAGGATCTTTGATTTCTGGTAAAGATTGGTTTGGCTGCAATAAGGTCTTCACCAACTACAGTTGCTATTACTTTTATAATATTAGTAGTGAGAATATTTTCTAAGTTGTATAGCTCAAAGATTAGTGCATTCTCGTTTTTAGTATAAATTCACTTCTTTAGAGAGTAGGTTGAGAAAGTTGCTTTGCCTCGTTTGAGCTTAGAAAACAGACTTGACTATTGTTTGGGTTCTGCCTGTTTGTTGGCTTTACGTGTTTGTTCATGTGTTTGTTGTTGTTAACTTTATTAGGCACATGTGCTATTTATTTTGCCGAGTCTTGAAACACGTCATTTGTTTGAGTAAACTAGCTGTTTTTTTCTTTTGCCACTTTGGTTTTCTCAACTATTTCTTTTTTGTTTTCTGCTATATTTTTTTGCATACTACTACTGTTTGCAATATTAACTATGTTGTCTGAATTCTGGCTTACTGTTTGGAGCAACTCCTTATTTTCTACATCTTTATAGCTTGTCCCTCAAATTTCAGCCAAATTTTCTTCTTCTTCTTCAGTAGCTGAAGTTCTTGCCTTTTTATTTTTTTTGTTGAACTCTGGGTTATCTATACTAGACGTTTCCATACTATCTTGCTTATATTTCTTGTATGTAAGGGTCTTAGCCTCTAAAGTATCTTGTTGTTTTTGTATAAAAAGTGGCAAGTTTTGTAAAGTAATTTTGTTGTTACCAAATTTCCAGATAAGAACCAGAAAGAGTTATGTTGTTAATTTTTAATTTTTTTTTTTATTTTATTTTTGTTTTTTTTTATTTGCTTCTATTTTATTTTTATTTTTATTTTTATTTTTTTTATTTTATTTTTATTTAACACTTTTACTAAAATACACCTATAGTGTTTTTATACCATAGGTCTCATTTTTCAAAAACATACTAAGTAAACAGAATCGGGTTCTCTTCATAAGAACTGAGATCAGGCTAGTGTTCCAAATCATTAGTTGAAAAACTAACTAGTTGACAACTTTCCAACTAATTGATTTAAAAAATTTTTAAACAACTAATTAACTAATTATTCAATTAATATAATTCTGAGGTATTCTGCTTATTTAGGATAATTCAGAATGATCTCTTGGATTTGATTGACTAATATCTGAAAATATCATATGATATACGTAACCAGTTAGTAAAATTTTAACAATTTGGAACACTAGATCAGGCCTTATCGGGAGCTCTATAATACATTATATAAAAAAAAATAATTTTTAATTTCCTAATTCTAACCCTAAATTTTATTATACATAGGTGCTAAAACACCATAGGTGTGTTTTATAATAATTGTTATTCAATATATCTTTTTTTGTTTTATTTGTTTTATTTGTTTTTTTTATATATTTATTTTATTTTATTTATTTAATATATTTTTTTTCACTTTTCTTAATAAATTTATTTTAACTATTTTGATTTAATTCGAATTATTTTTAATATATTTAGTTTTAATCTAATTTGTTATTGCATGATATTTTTTATATAATAATTTAATTAAGTTCGAAACAGTTTGAATTTATTTAAAATTGCTTGATTTATTTAAATATAATTAATTTAAGCCTTATTATAGATATATTAAATAATTTTAAAATTTCTAAACTTATTAAATATTAAATTTATTATTTAATATAAGTACTGAAATATAGTAATATATGCCTTTTTGACCCTAACAAAAAACTCTTCCTAATAATCATTTGAACCAATATTTCTGACCTAAGGAAAAATTTAAAGTCTGTTGGAGAGGTGTGTAATTACAGTAGTGGTTTGTAGTAGAGATCAACTAGCTATGTGAACTCCTCATTATTATTCGGCATGCAAACCAGAAGCCTAGTTAAGAGGAAAGGTAGGCGGCACTCTTGGCAAGCTCTATTAATTCTGGTAGTGAATTTCTGTCAATGAAGCTCTGTAGGCTATAGTCTTAAAAAAGACTTTAGTGGTGGTTTCTGGGAATATAAATGGTTAACCTGGCCTAGGGAACTCTGCTCCACATTTGGCATGCAAGCTAGAAGCAATGCAAACGAAAGAGGAAAATGCAGGTGGCACTCTTTAATGTAGCAAATTCTGGTAGAACAACGTTTCTGTTGATGAAACTGCTAGGCCTTTCTTTAGAACCTAGAGGTACAACAAACATTATCTTTTTTCTTTAACTACACTCCTTCTATTAGTTCAAGTGCTCCTTATTCCAATTTTTTCGCCCTTCTGCCAGTCTTCTAGTGTTCCTATGAACCGAACTGAAACCGAACTTTGGTCAAGTTCAGGTTCAGGTTCAGTTCAATCATGTTCAA